TAGTACCAGAAAACAAAAATGGTAACTCTGGCAGGGAAGGAGAGTGGTTGCAAAAGGTTTCCTGCTCTCTGTCTCTTTTCTGCAAAAACTAATTACTCAATCGAAAATTAAATTTAAAAGTTGGAATGGGTGGAATCTCAGTAGAAGAAAATGTAATTTTCACTAAGAGCCATTGCATGTTAAAATCTGCAGCAATTATGTCACAAATCCAAACCTTAGACATTGTAGGAGAAGAGCTGTGGTAGTCTATGGTGGAGATGTCTGGTAGCACCCGTCTGACTAATCAGTTTCACGAGCTGCAGCTCCCTTCATCAGATGCATAGAGTGGCTAGACTGATGTAGGATTTAAATTGGGGTGAGGTGAGGGGAAAGGTGGGGTGGAAGGAAGGTGAAGATAGGTTAACCTATCTTTCCCTCTCTTTTATAGCCTAAAATTGGTTAGTCAGAAAAGGTGCTACCAGACTCCTCCTAATCCAAACTTTAGAGAATTAATTTCTGAAAACAATTTCACCTCGAGAATGAATGAGAAATGAAGAAAAAACTGCTTCTTTTTAAATATGATGTCAGAAAATTTCATGAGTACATTTTTCATAAAGTTAAATACAGTGCAGTTAGAAATAATTTTAAGAAATGGCCATCAGATTGTGTCAAAAAGCGTTTTGATTTGTTGGATTGTTAACGATCAGAAATGGAGAGATCTTTTTTTCCTTAAAGACTTTCAGTTTCTGCAGGGGGAGTATACAAAAATGAGACCCAGTATCTGGGGTCTCCATTTTTAAACAGTAACATAGTTTATACTTTGCTTCTCTCTTGCAACAACAATATCATTAGGGAAAAAATTCTATTTGATTTAACTGCAAATATCTACAAGTTCTTCTGTTAAAAAACCAGAGTAGCTTCTATGAGCTTGCCTGAAGGTGCCCATCCAGCCACTGCTCAAATGTATATTAATGTGGCCATACTTCATTGGTGTTATACGGAGTTCTCTCTGTGAAGTCTACTCTGTAGGGAGGAGTAGCTTTGCCTCTGCTTTTCAAACATTTACTATGAATCAGAATATACAGTTAGGATCTTGGAGGCTTTTGAATATTCTTTTGCATAAGTACAAATGTGGTAATTTGTAAGACTTTCTTCATAGGAAGCTACTTAATAATAGCAGTGTGCCCATGATTTAGAAGAATGCTTTGGACCTAATGAATCAGTTCATTAAAGTATCCACATCCTTTTTTATGTTCACCCACAAGCCTGAAAAAGCAGGTGGCTGCTTTAATACATAGAAATGCTCTGCTCACACGTGAACTATGCGCATCACTACTTCCTTTATAACCAGAACTATCTATCTAATCCAGTATTATCTACTCTGAATACAGGTAGACCCCACTTATCAACTGCCTCATGCAGCGACCGTTTGAAGTTACAATGGTGCTGAAAAAATAACTTTGCAACCAAGGCATGCTTTTACAACCTTCACAGCGTCTTTCTCTCAGTCACATGTTTGCCATTACAGTCAGTATATGTGGTCCTGTAGTTGACCGTTCCCCCCCCCCCTGCCCTGCAGAGCAGAGAGATTGCCTAAACAAGCAATCTCTTTAGGCAACATTGGAAGGAATGCACTAGTGTCAATTGTTTGCCTAGCGCACTCAGGGCTAGGAACTGCAAGCACACTAGGCAAACAGCCAGTGCTAGCACATTCCTTTCAATGTGT